TACTATTCTATGTCTGCCTTTCCTATTTTCTAGGAAGGTGAGTGAATGTGGTTCAAATATTAATTAAATGCATTTTAAATACAGCTACTCCTATAACATAAACATATTTATGACTCTGGGGAAAAATAATAATTCTACATTTAAATATAAAATACAGAGAATTAGAAAAATAACAATCATTCATCTTACTTTAGGAGTTCTATTAAGGGGATGGAAATGGGTTTAAAAATCAGTCTGGATATTTACAGAATTGTTATCCAAAGAATAATGGTGGTATAAAAATTACAGAGAAGATGATGTAGTATTTAAATTAAATGGTTTATAAGATATTTATGCTATCTTATTCTTATGTTTTCCTTTTATAAGACAAATATTGAAGTACATTAGAGGCAATTTTATTTTTTTAAAAGTTAAGGAATTGATTGCTTCATTTATTTTTGATACCAAAATTATGAGAACATGATATAGTTAAATTATTTCCTTTTTAGTCTTTTGTGGAATTTTAGCAAAATAAGTCCAGAGAATTTTACATTTTATTAAAAAAATGACTTATTTCAATTCCTCACATTTTTTATTTCTGTTTCAATTTCTCTGGTTAAATATATTAAATGAAAAGAAAAATTATTTCAATATTCTACTGAAATTGATATAGTAATGTAAGATTAAGTGTAGGCATATAAGAAGTTATTGAGTATTACGTTATTATTGTTAATACTAGTTAACAGTATACATTATACCAAATTGATATCTATTTTGTTACATAATTGCAGATTTTAAAGATCTCTACCACAAGTTATTTGTATGAATAAAGCATGTATCATTGTTAATTTCAAGTTAGACATTGTGTTGGTTAAACAAGCATGTGAGTTCATTAAATATGCTAGTCTTGATGTTGAAAATCTGGTGAAAAAATCTAGATGTCAATGACTGAGTTAAGAGTGCTTTTTAATTTAATGGGAGTCAGGATAGGGTAATGTGGGCAGGTAGTTGAGAGTGGAAGGAAATGGGTAACACAAGTATAGAAATATCTAGAAGCCCTATCGTATATGGTGCATAATAGTAATTATATCAGAAAAAACTACGGCACAATATGCTGTGTCCTGAAGGTCCTCCACTGTAACTGCCATCTGACTTACTTTCGCTGGTGGAATAGTCCTGCGGGTCAAGGATTCCTGACTCCTGCAGTGATCGGATGCAGGAGTCCACCAGCTCAAGACCTGTTGTGAGTTCATCTTCGATATCTTTCTGACCATCTGAAATAAGATATTTGAAGAGGATGAATCAGTGATATAGTAACACTAAAAGCTTGAGATTACAACTAAATAATCAAAACATTTCCCGAGAAATCCATCATCTCCATGAAGTTCCCATTGAATAAACTTGTAATTGACAGCCAGGGCTAATGCCAAGGCCAGCCAATTCCACCTATCCCTGGAGAACACGAAGGGATCAGAGAATGAGAACTTCGATGCTCCCCACTTGTTTATCACAACAGTGCCACTGTAACTGTCACGGTCACGTTTTCTCATTTACTGTATGTGGAAGTAAGCATAAGGACCCACCAGGAGCCCATACTTTACCTTGTGGCTGCCAATGAAACTGCTCTTCTGCTGAACTGCAAAAGAGAGAACACACAGGTATAATGCGCTGATTAGAAAAGAAATGTCCCAAACTGCAAGTCACAAAGGCTCAACAGAGCAATACACTGGCTCCATGACACTGCCTTTAATTCCTTGCTGAGAAAAGTGGCATAATTGGTCCATTTGCCATGTATTGCTTTTGATTCACAGGTACTACCATGTTGTAAACGGACATTGTTCAGAAATTTCCACAAGGACAGCTCATTTTAATTTTTTTTAAATAAATCTCAATCCATTAAACTTGTCCCTTACAATACACCTTCTGTATACATGCAGTCTCACATAATTTTAGTTATTTTAAACTACAAGTCTGAATAAGGTTATATATAGACTTTGTAAAGTAGCCCATTGAAGAAATAACTATCTCTCTTTTTATTACAAAGAAGATAAAATAATTATTTTCCTTTACTTCGACATTCCCTATGAACACTTCCTTTCAGTTGATTACTATAGTTTGTCATTTAAAATTAATAACACTTTTCCACCAATTGAATATACGTTTCTGGCTTTCTCACTTGATGATATATCTATAAAATAATCCAGCATAAAATGTTGTTCGTATATATGCTATGCCAATCATATTGTACACAGTGGCAACAGATTTATTTTGAATAATTTATTAAATACAAAATAGATGGATAAATTTAAAGCTTCTAAATGTGAACAACTTTCATCGTATGTGTGGACTTTTCCTACCTGCCCACTTTTTATGTAAATAATTGGAAAGAAAGTTAATGTCAATTACTGACAGATATCATTTGGAGAATGATTTTTCTACCCTCATTTCACTAGATTTTTTTGCCTCTGATTTGGCAGCTTCTGTGAATAGCTCATCAGTTCCTTAACAGCAAGTGGAGTTTAGGTCTTTAATCTGTACCTTAGAGGTGGCTTCTGAATACATTGACAGGAGAAAAAGAGATTTCTGGTATAAATCAATGTTCAGAAAAGCCATGATTGATGCAAATGAATACAAGAATAGTCCCTTAAGAAACATGACTTTTATAGTGTGTCTTGCTCCTGCATCAACCCGCATTAGCAAACTAAAAAAATGGTTTTACAATAAGAGCTATCCACAGAATTGCTATATGAAATGATAAATTGGTAAATTCAGTCCCATGAAACTCTTTCTTGCACTGAAAAGATAAAATATTATATAAAAGCAACATCAAACTACAGTCAAACCCTTAAAATAGAAATAAAATCCTAAAATCAATATTAAAAAAATTTTAAAGCAGGTTCTCTTAGTAAGTGGCATTTAACATTAAGCAATCTCATCTCAAAAACCAAGAATCACCACAATAAATCTAAACCATAGTCATCCTGGCTTTTTTAATACTGTAAGAAGCTGATTAACCATGATTTTTAAATGATATAAATGTCAATATCAATCTTAATGGTCATTTGCAGGAGGCATATTAATTCTGAGTATATCCAAATGCTTACTTGTGTCAGAATCATTTGTGGCTCTTCTTAAATACATGTATTTTAGGCCTCACCAGAAACCCACAGAATCAGAAAATCTTCAGGTGGGGCTGAGAATCTGCACTGTGATGACCCTCATGCTCTATTATCTTTGAAAACCTGTAGGTACTGTTTCTATTAAGGATGCACTATGAATTTAAAGCTGTTCCACTACTTTATTCCATACTTTAAAGCTGATCCAATTACAAGCATGTATATGCTATGTGTTTACATGGGGTTAGAATTTTCCTTCATCTTGTAGTGGGATGTCTGTTGGTCTTCTCTCTTCTAAACAAAAGTGTACACAGAAACCTTGCAACTAATTGATGGTAACTTACTTGGAAAAAGAGATTTTGAAATGCAATAAGTTAATGATCTTCAGATGAGGTCATTCTGGTTTACCTAGGAGGACTCTGAATCTATTAACAAATGTTCTCACTCAGAGAGAAGACCAGGGGAGAAGGCCAAGTAAAAAGGGTGACAGAGAGTGCAGCCATCCAGCCTCAAGCTGAGGATTGGTTGAAGAATTCAGAACCTGGAAGGGTACCCACGGCACCTTCCCTAGTGCATTTGTAGGAACAGGGCCCTGCTGATGACCTAAGTTTGAACTCTCAAATTGTGAGAAAATAAAATTTTAAGCACCCAATTATGGTAATTTGTTAAGGCAGCCCCTGGAAACTGATAAAATATTTTTCTGATACAATAAAAAATGTTCTCATATCCTCCAGGATTTACTATCCTCTCTATACTAGTACATGCCTTTATCACCACAGCTATTTATGCTAAGTGCTTACTGTATACCAGAGCCCTGACATTTTGCATCACCGTAACCCTCCTTAGAGATAAGGCTCGGTGATGTTAAGTAACTTGACTGCACAGCTCATGAAGAATTCAGCAGGGATTTGAATGAACCTGTCCAACTAACTCCAAAACTAACTCCTCATTCATGGTCCAAAATCATGGAGGGAAACACTGAAGCACCCAGCTACTTAGAGCAGCCCCCATGAGTGATTCAACAGACGCTGCTTCGGGGCTCAGCAAAGTCCAGTTGTCCTTTCCTTCCAGCCACACTGGGGGCCACACTGCCCTCCCCTTGCATGAAGATGGGGTCATGTGAGAGCCTGTGGCAGGAACTGACAGGGCTCACTTCCTGCCCAAGCACAGAGGGAAGGCATGAGGTCTTCCAGCTTCTGTCCTTTGAGGCCCAGGATGGGTCCCTGAGTCAGCATGTGGCACAGAGACTTCCTCCAACCCACAGAGAACACAGAGCATGAGCAAGAAATAGACCATTGATGTGTTAAAAGTTAAAAGCTGCAGGATCGTTTGATTTTATAGAAGAGATTTCACACTGACCAAAACAGAAATTTTCTGTGCCATGATTTGCATTCTTAAGTCTTTTCTTTTTCCTCCTTCCTTCCCTCCTCCCC